CTTATGTCTGTTGTAAGAACAAAGCCTTATCCTCTTTCAAGGCAAAAATCCTGCTGTCATTCAGAACAAGTCTCCTCCTCCTCCTTCCAGCAATCTCTAAACTTCATAACCAAAACTGTGGCACAAATATTATTTGACAAAGTCAAATTGAGCTCCAGTTCTGCCATGCCATATTTTAGTGAGTTATCCTTATTCGTAAGATTAGGCAAATTATTTTCATATTTTTGTAGGGTTTATGTGGAAGGAACATGTGACTGTGAATCAGAATATCCTGAATTTTAATTTAGTTCCTGGCAAAGATTGCATCTTAATGAATGTTTGAAGAACATGATGTACATGTCCAGGACTGTTATACATTGATACAGCCTTAATATTCTTATTGGCTCTTTCATCCATAAAATGAGGCTGATATTACTTATCTACCTCACATTAGTTCAGTAAGAATTGTTTAATAATAGTATAGGCCTTTGAAGATGCAAAGCACGATATAAATGCTAAATGGTGTATATTAAAAACAGTTGCTGTAAATCAACAAAATTAATTTTTTTTATTGTATTTTGGGTTGAGGAAACTGGAAACTGCTTAAGGTGTTTTTGTTGTAAATGGTGGTGAGTTTTGCTCGTGGCAAGGGCTTAATTATACTAGTAAAAGCCAAAGAAAGGGCTAAAACATATCACTTGGATTTCATAACTGTGTTAAGGGCATTGTAGGTGTCCACAGATTTCGCACATCATTAGCATCTATCGCTTTTCACTTAGTGATTGAAGTTTTATCTCTGTATCAGAAGCTGCTCCAGAATTTAGCATGTATTTTAAGATTTAATACCATTGCCCATCACCCATCTGAACCCATTCCACATAAAATCAACAGTAATTGCTGTCTTCTTAATAGATTGCAGTTATTTTCTGGCTTTTCTCCTCTGTATGCGTAGTTTTTTATTGGGTGCTGATTTATTTGTTTGGTTTAGGCACTTGTTTACAATACCACTTTGTTCAGTGATCTTTGGGGACTTTAGGCTTGCCAGTACTGTATATGCTATTCTTGCTGTGATAGAAAGGCATTTCTAAAAGGAATGAAACTAAGAGTGATCAACAGAAGTTTAATGGAGTTTTACAGAAAATATACTAAAACTATACCTTTTTAACATCTTATAGAAATGATATCTAAGAGGAAATGTTTATTAAATTCTGTGGGATGATTCAAAGAAGTTATAGAAATGTTATAAATTTCTGTCTGAAATTTGTACTATATTTTATAGATAACAAATAGTAGGACATTTGATTGTGTTTGTGCCTCAATAATCAATGTGATTGTACCTGATAGTTGCTTGGGTCTCAACTGACAAGTGACAATCTTTTTCCCATGTTTATTTTTTTGTCTCACAGGGGTGTTTTATCATGGTGTTCAGAGCTTTCCTCAAGTGGATGAAAATGTTCGGGTGGATTCACATGTACACAGCCACAGGTGGAAAAGGCACTCGGAGTCTCTTAAATCAGTCAGTACGAACAGAGCCAGCATGGGGCAGGATTCCTTAGAGCCCGGGGGCTTCACAGACTTGCTACTTGAAGACGGACATGACAATACCACAGACATTGAGGTAGAAATCTATTCCTTGAAACATTTTGTAACGAATTAACAATAGTGTGAATAGTGGAATGAATTGAAGTCCCAGAACCAACCAAAATGTAAAAGGTTAAAGAATGTACTCAAGTGTGTTTTACTTTGGTAACCAGTGCTAAAGTAATGGTCTAAAAATTCATGAAACATGTATACAAGGTTGTATTTTCCTGTCTAGAGGAGAAGATTTGGATATGGCTTTCATAACTTTTGAGAGAATGACTTCCTCAACTGCACTAATCAAATCAGGAGGTTGCCCATCTCCTTGCTATAGAAAACATGGGAGGTCTCATGATACTATTTATAAATTCTGCTGAGGACTGGAAAAAGAAAAGAATTATTGTGTGAAAGGCTGGAATGTGAAGGCCTCTTTATCTGGTCTTTATGGAAATTGAGACCCAAATGTTAAGGAGCGAGGCTTCAAAGAAACGGACAAGTTGTAAAAACCCCAGGCTGCTCACAGAGCTGGTGGCAGGGGTGGTGTGGGAACTAAGCTACATGGTTGACAGCCCAGAGGCTGCAAGTTTGCAGGCCATATGAGAAGTGCTCATGGTGCAGTCTGTCAGATTCCAACTCATCTGCAAATTCTGCTAAATACTGTGTCACAAAGACATGAAAAAGGAAGTCACAGAGCTAATTAACCCCCTCTACCCCATTACCACCCCCAAAAGAGTATCCTACTAAAGTATTTCTGGATACATCTGTAGACGATTTGGGGACATTGTCTCTCTTATTTAGGAGTCGATCCAAAGCCCATTGGAATTGGAGGAAGGGTTTGTTATTGTCCTCAGTACAATTTGAACCCAGGCTTTACAGCTGTGCTTGTTATTGGAATGATATATAATTCAATTTTGATTATTTTCTCAGAAACATAACATGTCAGATTTTACTCTTGTGCATTCATTTTCTATTTGGAGTACCAACAGTAATGCCAGTGGAGTTACTCCCAACTTAACAAGAGCATAAGCGAGAGTGTGGACTTGCATTCTATTCAGAAGAGTAACTGACTGGGTGTGTTTGGAGCTGAGATATTCTACTCTTGTGTCTTAATAGCTTGGAAACGAACTGCCTGATTTGATTTTGGCTTTATACATGGGCAGTAAATATAGATTTAAGTATTGATTGATGTTTTAAAATGGGGATTATTTATTTTTGTTTTCAAAATGACAAAAAAATACTCCATGTTCTTGAAGCAGAATATAGTTCAAAATCAAGTGTGCTTAATTTGATTCCTATTCAACTTTAGGTTCTGTTGTCTCTTTTGTGTTTTAATTCTAGAGGAGCTTATTCTTGAATGAACAAAAAATCTTTCAGTCATTGTGGCTTTTCTTTTCTTTAACAGTTATAATTCAGGAGGAATGCAAAGCTATCTGTAGAGACAGCTGTTTGTTGGTCAAAAGTGATAACACTTTTCCGCATTTTAGTGGGTTTCCTTACAATTTGCACAGTGGTAATTGCATCTTCTGTTGTATAAATGTACAAGTCATTGTTTAGTAAATGACATTCTTGATCTGCATGTAGTTTTATGGATTGTTTATGTCTTTTGTGTTCCCATCTGACCATATATGTAATTACTTAGTTGGGCACAACACAGACCTTGCTTCTGAATATTTAGTCCATGAAGCAAAAGTTGTCAGGTACTGCTACAAAAATTACTGTAGCTGAACTTTTCATGACTTATCTTTAGGGATAATGCAGTGTCTCCTGTTCCTTGGCACCCTTGGAAATGGAACTAGTCATCATTCCAGCAGTGCTATTGAAGTGGTGGAACATGTAGTTTAAAAGGGAGCATTTGCAAGCAAATGTGGATTATGGTGATATTTTTCCATATACACCTTCCCTTGAAATAATAAAACTATCATGTACCCATCTCATTTGTATCAAGAATTTTCACTGTCAATAACTAACTTAATTAAATTCAGGTGCTCATTACCAGCCCTTTAGTTCAAAAGGCTTCACAGCAGGATAAAGTAACTGAACTGTGCCTCTTAACTTTATTGGATTCCTTTATTAATCCCTTTTACACCACACAGTTACGTTACAAAATCTTCAGTGTCCATCTTTATAAGGGAGGAGCAGTGTATAACAAATATTCACAGTGGAGGTATCTGTGTGTAGCAAATTTCTCTTCTGAAGCTTTGGAGATTATCAGTAGTGCTAGAAAGGCATATTGATTTTAGTAACCCTTCTTCCCAGGATATTGTAGTTCTTGTTCAAGAAAATCCACAAAATGAGCGTTCTCTTTCATTCATATTTAATGGCAATATAGTATCACAAGACTTCTTCATCTCAGATATTGTTTGTCTCTAAATTATTCTACACTCTTACTGTGTAAACATGGAAGGTTCTTCAACAAAAGGATAATGTATAGCCTTAATTTCTCTCTCCTAACCATTTCTTCTTTTGCATACAATGATGGATCTTTTTTTTGCTTCTTCTCAACTACTAACCAAATAACAAAGAACAATAAGGAATACAAAACTACTTATTGTGTTTTTTCTAAAAAAGTAATTAATTATATTTTCTTAGTGTCTTATCCCCCTAGTCTAATCTAACCTATCTTGGGGGTAAATATTCATAGACGCACATTCAGTTGGGAGTTAGTAGGCTCAAGTGTACTCATTTCTCTCAGCATTTCCTAATACTAATGTAATGCTGTTCACTTTCAGTTATTCATTGGAAGGCATTGGCATACTTTAGAAACAGTTAGTTAAACCTCACAGCACCCTTCTGCACTAGCTGTCATCATCTGCTTGGTACATGGATTGCACAATGATGCAGAAAGTGGCAGTGATGCTTTTGCTTGTGGCAGCTTCTCTGTAAATCAGGGCTGATTTTATGTCCTAATCTGTAATGATTAGATGCACTGTGTTGCTGCAGGTGCCATTTCTCAAATGAGAAACTCTAAGGTCCTTAGAGTATATAGTAATTACAGTTCCTCTGACACTTATTACAAGAATAGGAATGTTTTTTCTTCTTCTGTTATTCTGCCTATTGCACCTGTTAGGCCAGTGATTCTCAGCCAGGGTGCCTTAAGGTCTTTTCAGGGGTAACAGGGAGAGCCATGCAATATTAGCACTGTTAGGAGTGCATACATGACTTAAAAGATAAACCAGAGTGCAACCGGCGGGCCTCAAACATGAGGTCTCGCGCTGCTCGGCCTCTGGCTGATGGGCCTGCTGGCTGCTTCGTCCTGTGAATGGTCTATTCCGGATGTGATCTTAACAGTAGTCACCGCCCCTGTCTCGCCTGCCACGACTTTGCTGGAACATTCAGTGTAGAGGCCGACTACTTCACCTTATCCGGGGTTGGGACTCTCAGGGGTGCTGATCTTCTGCGAGGCTCTGCCCTCCCCTACACCTCGCCCTAAGACCCAGCCACACCGAGTTGCTTATGATTCCTGGAGCCCGTCTCTCACCTTGCGGTGCCAAGAGATATTGGATGGCAACTCCGTCAGTTTGGCTTGACTCTACACTCTGTGGGTCAACAATCTTTCTGAGGTTCCCCTCCTGGACCTTCCGGCCGTAGGCTATTCTGCCCAAAACTCCCAAAAGAAGAAAACAATGCCCGCAAGTCTCTCGGGCTTACAAAATCAAAGTCTGGACTCCCTGTCCGGAGAGAAACCTCTCCTTGCTTAATTTCCCCTGCAGCACCCCTCTGGCTGGGTGATGTGTTTTCTTAACAATCACTCAGGACTGCTTCTTGGCACTCTGGTTCCCCTCTTCGCTCGGTCCCTCGCCAAGTGGTCCTGCCTGGCTGAATCCAGGACTCTGCAGTCCCTCCTGTTGCTTGAGTAATAGTTCCCTGCCAGGATGGGCTCTGGGGTGACCCCCTGCCCCGCGCCGCTCCCTCCTGACCTGCCGGGTCTTCCTCTGTCCCCCTCTCTTCGGGGCATCTCTCAATCCCGGACTCTATCCCCAGACCCTTGTGCCCAGCTCTGCCACCACAAACCTGGGCATCCTCCACTTTTCCCTCGGTGCTCTCCGTCCCGTAGCTGGGAGATGTGTTACAGCCTTGTAGACAGCTGCTGGCTTCTCCCTCGCCTCCAGACAAGGAGCCAGACTTGGCTCCCCTCCTGGCTAGTCTCCAGCTCTCCTTCCCTGCTTCTTCCCTCGGGGCGTTCTTTATTGTCCTGCACCAGCTCCGATCATTATTGATCGCAGCTGGCCACAGTTTTAAAAAGACACGGCTAATCAGCCGCGTGGGCCCCGCCGCCGCTTCTGCCGTTCCTGCATCGTCGGCTGCAGGTAAGGCACTCGTTGTTTTCCTTCCTTCCTTCTCTCTCTCCCCCACCTTATTTCGGGTCCTGGGGCACCCCTTTTCCCCTTTGGGGCCATATTGTGCCGTCCCATTGCGACACAGAGCTTTCAAATAGGAATTCATAGTGTTAAAAATATTCTGACCTGCTGTGGATTTTTGGGGTTCTTTGCAACAGAAGAATTGCTCTATTGTTTTGGGGGGAGGTTGGAGTAAAAAACAGTGAAAATTAAATGATGGCATTTTCCAAGGGCTGTCTTGAGTGTAATAAGGGAGGCCTTGAGTCTAGAAAGGTTGAAAGCCTCCATTTTGGGCTATGATTCAGGAAAGCATTTAGGATTATAGGAAAGTAAGGCTGGAATAGATCTCATGAGGTCACCTGGGGCAGGATTATTCTAGATTAAACCATCCCAGCCAAGTGTCTGCCTAGCTTGTTTTTGAAAATTTAGCAGTGAACATCTGTTTACTTTATGGTGTGAGTGTGCCAGAAGCCTAGAGCTGCCCATGCTTTAGCTGCCCTGGAGAAGTGCTTGATGGGCTTGAGGGGTCCGATCATCTGCGCCTCAGGAGTTCTTGTGTAGAATCAGGCCTCTCAAGGCCTGGAAGCTCCTACCTGGCTTTCCCTACTTACCAAGGCTTATTTTAGTAAGTAGAAAAAGCAGGCAGGCACTCAAAAGGCGTGAGGGCCTTTATCCTGCACGGGAATTCCTACAGTATGCAGAA